CAACCGATTCATCAGGGTCTAATTGCTAGTCACCTAATTAATGCGGGTGCACTCTTCGTAGAGGACAGCTTCGCGCTTGAGAGGTCGAACCTTTGAATTATCTCATTGTGCAAGTTTTTAGCATTTAACACTTTTCGGTAGGTAAAAATAAGTTCAGCGGTTGCCACGAACCAAGGTTAAACTATAAATATCCACAGCTAATTGCAATGACCTTCTGTTGTCCTAAGCTCGAGAACGTCACTTGTGTAACGCTGTATGAATCATCCATCATAACTAATATATTGGTCAACATAAGAACGGCGTTCGCAGTCAGCTTTTCTGTCGTTAAAGTAAATTTCTTATGGTCAGTTTTATGTTTCTAGAGGCAATATTTCTGCATTACAGCCTTGCAGAGATAACAAAGCTGCGGACAATGTTGTAAAGCTTGCAGAAACTTTACGCACACGTGCGGAAATAAAGTATGCACACTTCTTGCTTGGCGCAAACTACTGAAACGGAACTCACTTTATGATCCTGTATCGCTCTGCAGAACTGATTGGGTTCGAAATGCTTGAAAACTATGCCTGTTGAGCCTTGGAGCAAGCTAAGGTTAAGGAGACCTAAACTGTTCTGCTATGATCGAATTCTTTCACCAGGAAAGTCAGACGTACCGAAACCGAAAGCATGGTAAAATGGGAGGAACAGCATTAACTTTTCTCGTTGGTAATCCCAGTCATCAGCGATAAGAGGTACAATGTTAGTAGCCTCGTGTCTAAACTGATACGGTAAGAGGAAAAATCATTTTTTCCCAAGCTGCTTACTTCAAGTAAATGTTCATCATGGTGCCAAAATTCCGATGGGAGAGCATAACACCTTTTGGAGAGCCTGTGGTGCCACTAAACGAAAAGCTTTATTCAAAAAACCCTGTAAGCGAAATTTGGCAAATCCACCTGGAGTAAGGTAGGATAATCATATCTTTATCCAAATCAATATCAGCTTTTGGCACTGTCTTCGGATTGTAGCGAGTTCTCACGACTTCATTCCAGCTTATAACTCCTTCAGGGACTTGATGGTCGTCTCCTTTGGGTATGTATATCACCATCTGAAATCTTGTATATTAATTATTAGCATCAGTCAACATCAGTGCATGCCATCGAGCTCTATCAGTCTCATGTTTACAACCATATCCTATTACCGAATGTACTTTCACCTCATGTAAATACTTAAAGATCGCGATTGTATGAGCCTTTCTTACAGATTCGTCTGTTCAGTGCTCTCGAAAGTGTAACAGGAGGTGGAAATCCTTTTTCTTCGCACAAAAAAACATAAAAATGGTCCCGAAGAGATGCCGAAATGCACTTTTGCTCGAAATTCCAAATTGTAACTATACAGACAAGCAATATGGTAGCATCCTCTTTTCCACGTCTCTCAATAAATTTTCAGAGTGCTCAGAGAGGAGATCTTCCAAATTAGGCTAAGGTAACATCTCGATACCCCCCTTCCCAAAATTAGCGTCAAGGCCGAAAATATTGAACTATGCCAAAAAACCTCTCAAAAACTACATTGAATCGTCATTTTTCGAACCAGATTTCGAAAGCATACTCATACTGACCTAAACGACCTGTGAGCCTGACCCCATTACGACATTTTCTTCAATCTTGTCAGTTTCTAATAGCACGATCAAACTTACCTGAACATTTGGG